CCCCAAAACCCCAAAACCCCAAAACCCCAAAACCCCAAAGGAAGTTACGATTATTGAATATTCTGGGAATTACAAATTATGGTGATTTGGGTAACAAATAGTATTCGGAGACCCTCTGTTACTAAACAGAAAAGGTGATGTTCAACGAATTGGACTTAAGATCTCTCTTTTCACCTTCTGGAGTTTCTTAAGCTTTGTTAAATGAGTTCAAACCTGCCTAAACAATAAGGGAAACTTTACTTCTTGAATATGGTGAACTTTCTCCTTTGGGACTTATTGAGACGAATCACTAAGAAATTATGATGGAATAATACCTCTCTTTGTTTCATTCAGAGGCTTCTTCTTTAAGATCTTTCTTATGACTGAGGGTTTACAAGCTCTATTGTCAGCTTTATTTCTATTCTCAGAGATGAAAGAATTGATTGGTGAGCGTGGTTGGCTTGGCATCGATAATACATCTTCATTTCTTTGGTGAAGAATTCTGCTTCTTTTATTTCGGTTTGCTAGTGACTCTATTTGTTCGGCTGTAAAGCTTACTCAATGCATCTCCGAACTGAAATGCATTAACTTGTAGTCATTGCGGAGACAATGGGGATGCAGGGCCTTTTGGAGAACACAAACCCTATCGTTTAAAATTTAAATTCTTACTATTCTCCTTTTGTTTTTGTATATTGTACTACTTCTCTAAGTATATTAGCTTATAATAGAAGAGTCTTACTCTTGATCTCAGGTCTTGAGTCAAAATATTTTCATTTTGCTGGCAATCTTCGTCTCCTCAGTCTTGCTCTCCATCCTCATCATCTTCGTCTCGCTCCTTCGGACTTGCCAAGAAGTCACTGTCTTGATTAAAAGAGTTGAATTTTAAGTTCTGTACTTGGGGGTTCCTCCTTTCAGTACTTGTGCATTTCTATTCGGAGAATAAGTTGCAAGTCTTACTGTGGTTATTTGCTGATGTGTCTGAGAGGTCCCTCTTATTGCTACAGAATGAACTGGACTTTCTTACTTGGTAAATTATTGATTAGAAAAAACTTTGGAGTTCCTAGATACTGTCAGAGTTCAGAAACTTACTTCAGGACGGACTTTTAGCAGAAATCATGAAAGATTTTTCTGCATAAGTTAATTTCCAAATTACTCTCGAAAGTGCTCATAAGAGAAATATTAAATTTGCTTGAAATTTTCAATGGACTCTTCATGTCTTTTCTGCCTTGGCAAATGCTTCCTAATACGGTTAGAGCACATATTGTACTTAGGTCTTCTTTGCTTGAACTCTTTTTCTCTAGAGGTTCGAGACTTTAAGCATACCTAAAATTGTTTTGGTGAAGTCTTCTTTTCTTGGATATAAAACTCTTGAGTTGACAAAATCTAAGCTTATTAGAACGCACTTACCTTCATGAGCAACTTCAGTTTTCTTGATTCAAAAGATCGGGGGTCCTGGCTTTTACTGTGGAGAGGAGCCAGGATCTAGAAAGTTAAACAGGCTTCTCACCTTTTCGAAGAAGTACGCTTTAAATAAGTTAAAACTCTTGAAAATCGTCCTAGAAAAATATGTTACAAGAGAATGGAATACTTCTTCACTTTCATGTCCTGAATAAGGCATCTGATTTCTTTCTTGATCATTTCTTCAGAGATGTACTTGCTTATGAGAGAGGACTTGTCATGACTATTCGTGTAGTTAAACATCTCTCTCCAGAGATTTCCGGGTTTGAAGGTCTTGTCGATTTCTGAACTGGACAACTTGAAGTCCATCTTTTTGAAGTCTTCTATTCCAATAGTCTCGAGACCATGGTTGCCCTTTAAAATGTCTTCCACTTGGTCCACTAAAAGTCACTGGCAAAAACTTACGAGTGAGACGTCTTTGGGACTCCCGCAATACTTTCTTGGTATTTTTGACAGAAAGCTATTAAAATAGTATCAAAATTAACATAGGAAAGTAGAGATCTCAAAAAGCTGGTAAAGACAACTGCTTACCCTGAACTGAGCTTTGATGTTCCGAACCTCGCTGATAGTATCATTGTGTGTCTTAGCTTGCTCGTGAATTGGAAATAAACTGAGTCTTCTATGGTAGCCTCTTTTTGTCACTTTTAATTCTAGATCAGTGAAATTAATTGGCCAATCATTGCTGTATCAATTAGAAAATAGGTAATTAAAGCGAGCAGACCGATTATTAGCGAGAAATATCTTTAAAAATAGTCATGTTATTGTTATAAAGCCCTGATAAATATTGGCTCAAATTCTTTGAGCAACCGAATCAATTTTTAAGTTAAAACTTCACCAAAGATGATAGAGAAGCTAGACTTAATGAAGTAATTTATCAAAGAAATAAGCAGTGAAAATTAAAGTAATCTGCAATAAATATTTGGAGAAGATTTGAGTTTAGAATTGTTTCATCCCCTCGAAGAGGCTTCCATTTCTGAGTTTAAATCAATGGCCCTTTTTATTTGGATATTGTTTAGCCCCTTTTACATCTTTCTTCGGCTTAAGTGTTACCTTGATTACTTTCCTGCTCACTTTGCTTCACTGTTTCTTGCATTGATAAAATATTGCAATTATAACAAAGATCCAATTTGCTGCTTATATTTCGGGGTTTTGGGGTTTTGGGGTTTTGGGGTTTTGGGG